AGACTACATTTAAGCTTACATTTAAATGTTTAGTGCCTAGACTTCGTGAAATTTACTTGGGCTGTTCAGGGACCTTTACTGCCTAGTTATCAGCTGTCTTTATAATTGTTAGTTACTAAATCTGGCACCTTTAGATAAATGAGGTATATTATACCATTTAGAAAAATCTTTAGATAATATTTTTTCTAATTCCTTGTTTCCTCTTTCTCTTTATTTTTAAGAGTCTGCCAAGATGGGAGGAAGCCACATACAGTAAGGTTAATAATCCGTCGGTATTCATCCGAGAAGCACTGTAGCCGTGAGAGTCGGCAGTGCCCTATTCCACCCCACGTAATTCAGAAGTTAGGGACAGGTAATGGGCTAATTTTCTGATAACTTAGCAGGTTGAACTCTTAATAAAACAGACTTTGAGTTAGAAATACGATCCAAAGATGGGTAGTCTTCACAGGGTGTTAGTGAGCTATTAAATACGTTTGTTCTGTTAGGAATTTTCACTAGAAAACCTTGTAGCAACTCTGGATTTGGACTTTTTCCCTATGGGCTTTTTTTCCTCTTTTCTTTGTAACTTGTCTGTACTTAAGCTGCAAAATCTACCTCCCCTGTGATATGTTTCTCCTGATTTCTCTGCTCAGCTTTTTTTTTTTTTATTTAAATTAAAAATTTTTATTTTGGCTCCCTTAGGAGGTTACCCCTGTGTCTGCACGGTTTGGTGGTTAGACAATAATTGGTCAAAGGTTTGCTCAGATGCTGCAGCCTGGAAGGCTTTCATCTCCGTCAGCAGATACATACATGGGTTGAAGAGCACTTTCACAATTTAAGCCATTTTCAAGTCTGCTTGGCTTTTGTTTTCTGCTGGGCCCTCTTGCACCTCCCCCTGGTATGCTTGTTGCCTTTCTAGTCAGAGACGTGTGGGGAGCCTGGGCCCTCTCTGTGCGTGCAGCCTCTCAGTCGGCGTGGGTGCTGAGGAGGGCTTATGTGGGCCCTCCGTGGGTCTCTCTTTCCCAGATCTCCTGGTTAAACTTATGGCCGGTCCACTGATCTTTCACTCATCCCAGCCACAGCTGCAACCCTGGGCTCCACAGCTATGCGATTTCACTTGTTTCCTACCAAGTTTGTTCATTTTTCCGGCAACACTGCTGGGTGTGGGCTTTTGTTCTCTGCCTCAAATCAGGTCAGTCCTTTCTGGCAGCAAAGATGTGGTTTTCACAGCCAGCCTCACCCTGGTAAAATGACTGAGCCAACTGCACTGTGTAAATGGGAGAAATGACTCCAGCCAATAAGGCTGCTGTCTTCACTTTATTACCTAAGTTCTAGCAGCTTTTCATAAATCAGTGCTTCTCACTTTATTTGCCTTTGATTCATTCCAGAATCTCAAAATGGTTATTTTTACCATTTTCTTCAGTTGTATTATAGCTTTATGGGGAGATTTTCTGACCTCAGCGTTCTTCCATAACTTAAAGTCCCGTATTTCAAATCTGAAAAATCGTTTAGCACTTAGTACTGATGCTGATATGTCCCAGTTCATTCAGTACATGTCAAGTTGTCCCAGTGATATCTATTTAGGATTTTAATTTCTTAATCTAAGCAAAATAAAGTACGTTAAACTCTTAATATTAATTATGATATAATATGTTTATATATTGTCTTCTGAACACTTTATTTAGGAAATTATGATGTGATGACCCCAATGGTTGATATACTTATGAAACTGTTTCGAAATATGGTGAATGTGAAGATGCCATTTCATCTTACCCTTTTAAGTGTGTGCTTCTGTAACCTTAAAGCATTAAATACTGCAAAGAAAGGGACTATTGATTATTACTTAACACCATCATTATCAACAACTTCATGCTCTGGCAAGCGTAGTTTTGTAAGTACATTGTCACTGGATTTGTATGGTTAAATTACAAATACAGGTTTGTGTTTAACTGATATAATTTAGAGATTCTTTTGGGTGATACGATTTGAATGACTGACTTGTACATAGTACCTTTCATATTATGGTTACTACTGCTAAGTATATTGTACTGTGATCTAAGAAGAAACATAAGCATCACTGGATAAGAGAGAAAACCTTTATGGAGGTTCCCTGTAAACATTTTATAACAATATATAGGAATATGATGATTAGCTCCTAAGAAAATATTTTCAAATGCTGGAAATCAAATTTTGTTGTGTGTTAATGTATACATAAGCTACCAGCAACCCCTCCCCCCAGTGTATTTAAATTTTCTTGGTTTTGAAATTATACTGAATTCTGGTAGCTGTATTGATAGATGATGGCTGTTCATTTTACAATTATAGAAATTAAGAGTATGGTAATAGAGAGGCAGAGGCCAGTCATATTTTGAAATACTAAAACAAAGTGCTGTATTTATGGCCACTTGGCAAACTATTTTTTAGTAAGTGTGGAATGCTTTAAAAAATAATCTTTTACTAAATTGTTTATGCCTACAATTAATTCTTAATTTAAAATGTTTTTATTATTTTATTTTTATTGTTATAATCAGTCAATATAATTTTGGTAATATTTTCATTTCCATTGAAGCTTAAAATGAGAATAGAATAGTGTTGTGGAAATAATCAATTAGTGCCCTCAAGTTACTTTTTAAATTATTCTATTTATTAACTGAAATTTTTAAAGATGTTCACTTCTTTCTTTTTAATTAATTTGTAGAATGAGAATTAAAGGTCTTATATTCACAGTAGTATTAGAGAGGTAAACATAAGTGAAAGTACCTTGGATATGTCTGGCATACAGTAGGTGCTCAATAGATACAGTGGCCCCAAACTCTTCTCCTTTTACTTTTTTGAAGTTACTATTGTGTTGATGTTTTCTGAATTGTATTTGACTGTCTATATATTTTTGTGGTGCTTCAAACTAAAGGGAAAATATAAGTGAAAAAATTATGCAAATTAAGATGGAAGGCATTTTAAAATTTGTATTTCATGTAAATATGAAAGAGTGTTAGATCTTACAATGATATTGGGTTTTTGTCATAAAAGTATTTTTTCTTTCAGTTAAATGTTACAATTCAAAGTAGGGTATTTTAGAAAACCAGCCCTTGATGCTATCTGTGCATATACATGTATTTTAGATACCCTTGGTAAATCGTTTATTTTTATAGGCCACCATTATTTTATTCACAGAATTGGAAATTTGAATACATGATTGTTAAGATCCTTTCGAGGCCTCTGGATACATATTCTGGCTCAGTACTATCTAGGAAGAAATCCTCTTCCTGGAATAGTGAGTAAAGATCCACACGATAGTGTGACGGATTGTGGTGGATTAATCATTTCTAGTTGTTTGGAACCCACCAGAAGGATTGCGGTTATGAGCCAGATAGAATCGTGTTGGTTGGATAATTGCTATAGTCACACTTCAGCAGCATGTATATTTAAAGGGCATCAGGTATCTAAATTATTCTGTTATCTTTATGTTCTAGAAAACGAAAGACACTCACATGGAGGATTTTTCCAAAGACAAAGAAACAAATTGGGATTTTCTACCAACTGGAAGAATTGAGAGTACAAGAGCTGGGGAGTCTCCACCAGATACTACAAGGTTTTCTAGAGAAAAAGGCAGAAATGAATTCCCACTCTTCTCACTTCCTGAGCGTATTGACCGAGAAGTCTTTAAGCAGCTTCCAGTAGATATTCAAGAAGAAATCCTTTCTGGGAAATCTAAAGAAAAAGCTCAAGGGAAAGGAAGTTCGAGTTGTCCATTACATGCTTCTAGAGGAATATTATCTTTTTTTTCTACAAAACAAATGCAAGATGGCTCTTTAAATCCTAGAGAGCGTTTATCCAATAGCAAACAGATATCCTCTGTATCTCCCTGTGAACCAGGAACATCAGGTGTAAATAGCAGTAGTTCCTCTTACCTGTCTAGCCCAAAGGATTATTCACATTATTTAGACAGTAGCTTAAAAGATGAACGAATGAGTCAAGGACCGAAAGAATCTCAAGGATTCCACTTTTCAAATACAAACCCTGCTGTATCTGTTTTCCATTCATTTCCACATTTGCAGAGTGAGCAACTTTTCTCCAAAAACCGCACTACAGATAGCCATAAGCAACCGCTGGCAACAGTCTCTCATCATGAAGGACTTACAGAAAATAGAGAGCAAGATTCTACTGATGAGAAAATTACTTTTCCTTCTGACATTGATCCCGAAGTTTTCTATGAACTACCAGAAGAGGTACAAAAAGAACTGTTGGCTGATTGGAAGAGAACAGGATCAGATTTCCATACTACATAAATAAGCATGTTCAGAAAAAAGGGAAAGACCATTGTTCTCAGATTAGCAGTTTATTAAGCTCTTTTAAATTGAACACTAATAGATACTTTCAATAATGTAGAAATACAATATAAAATGTTCCAGATCAAGCACAGTTATGGGAAGTAAATTCTGGCGCAAAGCATAAAAATATAACAGAAGAAATAATGTAAACTATTACCTCCCTCATATTTCTAAAGCTATTTTATATTGCTTTTGAATAAAAAGAGTATCATGGTCAGTGTTAGTACATTTTCCATATATTGTGGAAACACTGGGACGAAGACATATATGCCTGTATATAAAAAGTAAAATAGCCAAATCATTGCTATGCTATAGCAAAGAACAGGGTTTTTTCTATGAAATACAGAATTGCTCAAGAAATTCACTCCTTTAGGAAATAGCCATGGGGAATTCTACTGCCAACTAACCTATTAAAAATGTATATGTCTTTGACTAAAGTACTATGTACATTTGATAAGTTGATTTTTTTTTTAATGCTGAAGCAGCGTGTATTCAATTAATGCTTCTTAATACACCTAGAAGCTACCATAATGCCTGGCACACAGAGGTGCTCAATAAATACTGAATGAATAAATTGTGTGGCAGGGGCCCACTAGGGACTTGGGCAGGAATGTATATGTTGTAAGGAACTAGAAAGACCTCTCCATACAGGTCAGTTAAGGGAAGGAGACACTGGAAATTCAAAGTGATAGGTCTTTAAGAATGTAAGGTAACAGAAGAAGTCCATTTCCTCTGGCCAGTCTGCAGGGTCTAAAAGCAGTGGGTTAGATGGCTTTGAATCTCCTCTACGTTTTTGTAGATGAAGATTTAGAGATGAGATTAAGGATGTCATACCCACAACAACTACACACAGTTACTAAATTGATGGGTATCCTCCTTCTCCCTTTGTTGTTGTGTTTGCCTTTTGCCTGCTGCATTAAACATCAGATATAAGATTGTGGCCATAGAGAATGTTTCTAGAACACACCAAAATATCCCTTAGCACTGATTTGGAGGCATTTTCTCAAGTTTATATCCTTCCGGGATGTAATCTAAAGAAAAGATAATAAAAATAAAAGTATACAAACACGAATGAAAGTAGCTTAAAGTTTCATTTAGGTAAGAACTTTTAGTTTTAGATTTCTTGAAATGTGAAAATTCCCTAACAAGGATTTTTAACAGGGAGTTTGGGGTTATCAAAGACAATAACTTGGAGCAAGAATATCAGAAATTATTCACCACATAAATATTTAGTGCTCTGGATCAACGACTATAAAATTTTTTACATGTAGTATTCTGGTGAAGTTGTTAAACTCGTAAGGAAGCGTATATTACTTTTTTATATAATACATGTTTTAAAATTTTCTAAGAATCCTTGTAATTATTTCAGCCAGAAATCATTGGACAACTGAAAAGTTAAAAAAGAAGTTTAAGAAAATTAAACAGTTTGGGTCAGTTTAAAAAGAGAACATAAAGTAGTAGTTAAAAGTATATTTTCTGAAGTGAGTGCAAGAGGCATATCACCAACTCTGCTACTTAGTCTGTGGCCTCAAGTTAGTCTTTCAACATCTTTGTACCTCAGCATCTGACGTATTATCTTTTATCTCTACTTTTAATAAAATCTTTTTTTCCCCTCTTAGGTGTTCCACAGATACACTGTAATGTTTGGAGATGTGAGTTTATTTTTATTTATTCTTGGCATAGGCTGGCTTCATGTATCTTTCAGTTCATTTTAGTTCTGTAGAATTTTTAACCACTAGCTCTTCAAATGTTGCTTCTCTATTATTTTGGGACTCTGCCCAAAGGTGGAATTTTTTACTCTATCTTTCATGTCCCTTGCTGTCTCATATTTTTCATCATCTTGTTTATCTTTGCTGCATTTTGGTTAATTTCATCAGCCTGTTTCTTATTTACTGATTAATTTTTCAGCAGTGTCTGATCTATTTAAAACATTCATAATGGTTTTAATTTTCAGTAATTATATTTTTCATTTGAGTATTTTTCTGATTCTCCTGTTTATTCATTAGTCTTTTGTAAGTCCATTTCTAATTTTATAATTTTTATAAATATTTCACATTCTCTTTCTTATCATTTCAATATTTAAGACTTAGAAGTCTGAAGCTTTGGATTTGTCGTGTACCGTTTTGGCTTGTTTTCTTTAGTGCACGGCTGAGCATAATCTGTGGGAAGACAAAAGACCTAACTTGGGTATGCTTCCCTTCAGATATGATTTGGTTTGCTTCCAGTGAGGCAGTACCAACCCACTGGCTCCACTGTATCCCCTTCAGCATTTCTGGCTGAATGCAGTTGTCTTTGTCTTATTTTCAGCTCCCTAACCTTGCTACACTATCCGAAGATTTTATCTACAGAGGTCGGCTGCAGGCTGCTATCTGCATTTGCCTTTAGGGTGAACTCCACCTTTCAGGTTTGCTTCTTGCCCATACTTCCTGCTCCTTTCCTGCTTTTGTTTCAGCTCATTTTTTTTCCCCTGTGTGAGTGTAGAGGGGTGGGGCCTGGAAATTTCCCTTATATAGTACAACTCAGTGATGAATTAACAAGTCTGTTTTCTCCAGAATCTAATATTTTGTAGGGAGAACTCTTAAGATTGTCTGTCTCACCACAGTGCAGAAGTACAAGTCTGTTTGGATTTATTTTTCCCATCTTATTTTGTACTTTCTCTTTCTTTTTCTATGCTTTCTATGCTTCTTTCCCATCCGTATTCCTTTCCTGTCTTCTTTTTGTATTGGTTGAATTTTCTGTTTTATATCTTCCTTCTACTGATTTGAAATTTAAACATCCTAAGTTTCTCATTACCCTTAAAAATTTAACAAACTTAACATCTAAAGATGGTAAATATCTGTACCCTTTTCCAAAACAACACAAAGATGTTAAAATATATTAATTTTAATCAAGTTCCTCTAGTTCTTTATATAAGCTCCAAATTCAATATTATTAATATTTTATATAATTAATGTTTGGGTTTACCCGTATGTTTATCTTTTTGGGAGGCTCACCTTTTTTTTTTCTTGCATCTCAACATTCCTTCAAAGTATAATTATTTTAACTTTCTGCAACATGTCTTCAGAACTGGATTTAGAATTGACTTCTCTTGGACTGTTTTAAGATACTTAAAAAATAAAAGAAGTATTTTTATCTTCGGAGATTTGCAGTTTTTATTACACTTCTAAATATGTATTTCTTTTTATGTTTAGGATTTAGGTGCTTTCTGAATTTGCACATTTATGTCTTTCATCAAATCTGAGTTAATATCAATATAAGAAAATTTCTACTGTGAAATCTGTATACAGAAAAGTACAGAAATACATGGACATGTTAATGAGTAATTATAACTTATAAGTATGTAACTATCCAGGTCAAGAAATAAAGCATATCAAGTTAGAGATGTGCCAGAGTTTAGCTTTAGTCCTGGTATAGTATTTAGCCAAATTCAGTTATTTGGCTTTTGGGTGGCTAAATAAGCAAGTACTTCAGCATCATCTGTGGCATCACCGAAATTGTGCATGAAATTTTCATGTGATTACGTAGGTTACCATCATATCTAATCTGTTAATAATGTCAGTCATAAAAATAAGGTATCACATTTAGATTATTAACATGAGTATTCACTTTCAAATATAGTTAAGCATTCCAGATGTAACCAAATTTCATCAAAGTATAAATTTGTAATTATTATTGCAAAGTAAAATGTTGCAGTAAGCAAACATTATGAAAGCTATAGAAATCAATTCAATTATTGAGTAGGGAAAGAGACTGACAGTTAATATGAATGTTGAGAGTGCAAATACTTGATAACTTTTTGATGAACATAATATTCTTTTGGAGTCAAAAAATGTGTGGCTATTTGTTTTGTGGCATTATTTTGTTACAGATAACTGCTACAAAAGTTAATACTAGAAGTGGGGAGCTGTACAACAAAACCCTAAAACGTTGGTATTGGCTTCAGTAGGGAGTTGAGAAAACTTAGCAGAGGCTGGAATAATGAGGAGGAAATTGATTTATTAAAATGTTTTTATGAAACATTTGATAGAACAGATAGATGCCTGTCCTACCTTGGAAAACAGAACATACATCTATTGAACTTTTGGCTTTGGGCAAGGTTTACCTCCAGGCAGAATGTAGAAAGCGCCCCCTGGTGGCTTTTAGCTGCATGGGTTGAAGTACTATGTACGAGAACATTAGTGTTAGGCTTTTTTAAAAAAAAAAGGTTAGGTTGTAAGCAGAAGTTAAAGGTAATAATGAGTGCCAGAACTACTAAACTGGAAAACATAACTTGCTGTCTTATCTCCAGCCACCCCAATTAGAAAAGCCTCAAAGTGAGATCAAACATCAAATCTAGATTGTGACTATAAGGTATTTTGATAAGACTTCTGAGTTAAGGTTGTGCTGAGATCTTCTAAAGTGGACAATAGCCTAAGGGTGTGGTTCCACCAAAGTCTGATCCAAAAGTAGAAGCAGGAGAGTCCAGAGCAGCATAAGTTGTTACCAGTTATAGGGGTGTGGCTTCTGGGTTTGTAAAGGCTCATAACCAGACAGCCAGCTCCAAAGTTTTAGAGAGCAGCACTAGCAAAAACACCAACTGCCTGGACTAAAGATGGTTAGACTATAAAAAGACCTCTGGCCCTTGACTTTCTTTGGGTAAGAAGCAGCCTGAGAAAGTTATTCAGCTGCTAACAAGGATCATTTCTTCAGAAAGAATAAAGGAGGGTAAGGGGGAAAGGAGGACATATCAGATAGTGTGACCAAAGCCTGGGGAACGACGAGTCAGAGAGCAGCTCCCAGGAGCAAGGGTCCGGGTCTGGTCAGGGAGCACCTCCCACTGCCAGAATGGCAGGCCCAGTGGGACATCAGAGTTGTTATGAACTAGTGACTCTATGCTTCCTATTCTACCCCCTTTCCCATGGGACTCTTTATTGCAGTTATCCTGTTCCTTTTTTATTATTTTATGTTATGTGTGTGTGTTGAAGCAGCGGTTTAGGAAACTTGTCTTTTTATTTCATTGGTCTCTGGATCAAGAGGAGCTGCTGCTGGACCTGATACATTATCACAAAATCCTAAACATGACGCCTGATACTGTGACTGTATGAGACCTCTGGAGGTCTTGGGAAGGTGTGTTTTGCATGTGGAAGGAATGTGATTATGACCAGAGGGTGAACAGTCATAGGTCAGTTGTATTAATGGTCTCATTTGTTTACCTCTTGTATTTATACTCATTTACCATGTGACTTTACAGTTTCACTAAACAGGCAGATTCTATTTCTTTGCTTATGGATTATAAGCTTGGCCGAGTGACTTGCTTTGCCAATGGGATATTAGACCTGAAAAAGCACTTACAGTATTTCTGCTTCCTTCTTTGCTCCTTCAACTTCATCATGAGAACACGCCCAGGCTAGGCTGCAGGAGGATGAGATTCAGGAAGCCAAGATGCCACTCCAGTTTTTCCAGCCCAGGCTGTCCTTTCTTGGGTGGCCCACAGCCAATTGCCAGGCATGTGAGTGAGCACAGCTAACCTACAGACTTAGGACGAATAAAGTTAATTGTATGCCCCTGAGGTTTTGTAATTGTCTATTATACATCATTATTGTGGCACCTGATAGTCATATAATAATTTACAATAATATACATGATAAATCATCTTAATCTTATGAAAAAAATAAAGTATGTGAAGAAAGTGTTAGTGAAAAAAGGTGGTAGTGAAAAACAACTTAATTTGTTCAACCAGTTAAATCCCCAACTGTTAAATGGAGGATAAAATGTAAAACAATTTATTAAAATAATTATTATAGACTGCCATTTTGGTACTTAAAGGATTTTTGAGATTTGCCAAAGCTATGAATACTAAATCGAAGTTCATATTGCAACTCATTTTACTGAAAAAAACTTTTCCCAGATTTGATGTCCAAAGAAGTCAGTAATACCATCACGTGTGCCACCTGAACCTGTGTGTTCTACAGTATGGAAGGTGCACCTGCAGGTATACTCTGGAAGCTGACAATACTGAAATTATTTTTCCTTGTACACTAATGTCAAACTTTAAAATGTAGACTTAAGAAAATTTTAAAAGTATAATATTTTTTGGTAACATTTCAGATTTATCCCCATATTCCAGCTCATTCTATGATGGTGATAATAGGAGCTGGCCTTGATTTGGCCAAATACTGATTTTAATACTCACCTATTTGGCCAAAATGTGTATTTAATTCAATGTACTTCTGTTTTTACATACCTTAAAATTGTAAATTTGTTCTAATGTTGTTGGATGATACCTCAAGATGTGAAAGACATTTAGGATGAAGCTCATTTTTGTTGATTGTGGGTATAGTTTTATATTTCAAATAGCCTTGACAATATTTTTTTCTAGCTTCTTGTGAGATCTAACCACATATATTGTTTACTTTGTTGCAAAGATATCACATTAGGAGTAAAATGTCAGCTCTGCTATATTCTTGTTTGTTTTTGCTTTCATTATTTGCATGTTCAACCCTTAGTTTATTTATAGAAATCTTTTAAACTCACTTCTCCATTTTCTGAGGACTTTTTTCCATTAAAACAGTATCAATTTCAGTTGAAGATTCTGAAGTATTTTTCCCTAAGTTTTATTGTTTTAGGTTTTACATTTAAGCCCGCATTCTGTGTTGTTAGTTTTGTAAAGAGTGCAAGGTTAGGCCTTTGCACGTCAGTTACTCCAACAGCATTTGCTGCAAGGCTGTCCTTCCTCCACTGAATTGCTTTTGTACTTTTGCCAACCATCAAATGTGATTAAATATACTCGAGAATGGTATATGACATTTTTCACCTTTTTTTTTTTTTTTACCCATTCTGATGTTCTTCTTTCCTCTCTGAAGGACTCTGGATCCCACTGAACCCTTCCATCACAGCAGGTAGCCTCCTGGTTGAGGTGTAGTGAGAGGGCTGGTGGGTGCCTAAGTTCATCTTCCCACTGGGCCCTGCCCTTACCAACCTGGCAAAAGTAGAACAAGACTGACACTAACTACAGATGGGGAGTGGTTCAGCTTCCTGGCAAAAATGGGCCCTGATTTGCATAGGCTTGTTGCCTCCAAGTGCAAATATAATCCCAGCTTCCCACGGGGCCCCTGACGACACCGGGGGAAGGGGAGGGGAAGTGGAGCGCTGGCGGGCCCCACGCCCGCACCTTGCTTCACCCCACCGACGCCGGCTAGGAGCGGAGGCCCAGGTCCCCAATGAGCCCCCCGACACGAGGCAGGGTTATTAGTTTCCTACAGCTACTATAACAAATTACCACAAATTTGGTGGCTTAAAAGAACACAAATTCTTTCTCACAGTTCTGGTAGTAAGAGGGCTGAAATCAAAGTGTCGACAGGGCCACACTCCCTCTGAAGGCTCTAGGGGAGAAACCTGCCTCGACTCTTCAGCTTCTGGTGGCTCTAGGTGTTCTTTGGCTTGTGCTTGCAAAACCTGTCTCTTTTTCTGTCTTCACATGGCCTCCTCTTCTCCACATGTCTCTTTTGAGGATTTAGAGCCCACCCAGATAATCCAGGATGATCTCATCCTAAGATCCTTAATTACATCTGCCAAGATCCTTTTTCCAAATAAGGTCACATTCAAGGTTCCAGGGAGTTGACAAGGACATACCCTTTGGGGGCCACCATTCAACACACTACAGAGGGGAAACATTGATGCCGGGTGGGGATGGAGCCTCAGCATCCTGGGGGCCTTTGTGATACCAGGCATCAGGGCAGCTGAATGGTGACTAGCTCTTCTTTGCACTAGCTGGTTACGTCCCGTTGCTGCTGGGGTGGGGATGGGGGTAGGCGGCGGAAGCTCATTTGGTCACTGGACCTCACTAACACTACCCTGACAGGGATATCAAAGCACTGCTACCTGCCTCTGCCAGCTGGAAAATGGAAGATGAGTTCCCTGCTCAACCTTGCCAGTATCAAAGGGTGGAGCTGTCAAAGCACCACTGCCTGCTTCTGCAGGATAGAGATGAGGTGGGTGAAAGATGTCTCTCTGCTTTGCCCAGGGACACCATATGGTGGGGTAGTTACAGTCTTTAGGTTGATGTTTGGCAGGTGTTCTGTTAGGTCACACTTTTGTTTGTAGACATTCGTATGGTGAGGAGCAGCAGAGGAGCAGACTTATTCTTAAAGCCTCCCCCCTC